TCGGGCGTCGAATATAAATGGTTGGGTTTGGTTGGGTTTGGTTAGGTTAGGTTAGGTTTGGTTGGTTGGGTTAGGTTAGGTTTGGTTGGTTAGGTTAGGTTAGGTTGGATTAGGTTAGGTTGGGTTAGGTTTGGTTAGGTTGGGTTAGGTTAGGTTTGGTTAGGTTAGGTTAGGTTTGGTTAGGTTAGGTTAGGTTACATATCACCTTGTCACTTAACAATTGACGTTAATGCTTCCTCAAAGGTCAGAGGTCATAGAGGTCATCGTGACGTCACAAAGCGTGTTGAGTGGTTGTAACACAGTCCCCTGGGTGTTGTGAGCTCTCGACACAACACAGTACATGATCGAAGGGTGAGGGAAGCTCCTACGTGACCCAGGCAGACCTCTTAGGGACAAGGTCAATAGGTCATCATTGACTGACTGACTGACTGACCTAGTTCACGCCAGTCTACTGTAGGTGGTAATGAGAGGGTCAAGTGAATTCTCTCTCTCTCTCTCTCTCTCTCTCTCTCTCTCTCTCTCTCTCTCTCTCTCTCTCTCTCTCTCATCATATTTTCTGCCACAAATTAAAACACAATAATAATATACCTATTCCTCTTATTATGTCATTATCTTCTCCTATTTAATTATTCCTTTATTATCATTCCAATTCTTATTCGTGTATTTTTTATTTATTATTTATTTTATTTTATTTTATTTCTTTTAATTAAACATTGTATTTTTTTATAGTTTGTAAAATATATTTATATTTTAAAAACTTTGAAATGTTACTGAGAAAATTATTATTATTTTTGTATTATTATTTTTACTTTTTACTTTTTCTTGTTAGTTTTATGAATATTTTACCTTTTTTTTAGATTTAATGATAAAGAAACAAATTACCTTAATGCGGTAATTATCCTTTATTAGAGAAATAATTACTATTAATATAATTTTTCTTTGACGTATTTATTTTATGATGAAAAATAATTATTATATTTTTTTCATATAAGTTATATAAAAAAAAAAACAGATTTTCTTTGGATTTAAATTGATTATAAAATTTCCTAAGTGTAATTTTTTTCGCTATAGAGTACTTAATATAACCAATTACATTTTTCAAAGCATGTATGTATGTATGTATGTATGTATGTATGTATGTATGTATGTATAATTAAGCAAGGTAATTAGTGGACAGATTAGGGTCTTAATTAATGGGTTATTATGATGGGTTTGTGTAGTTGTGTGTCTGTCTGTCTGTCTGTCTGTCTGTGTCTGTGTGTCTGTCTGTTAAAGGAGGTCACACTTAACAGATTAGCTTTATAAGTACATAAGTAAAGTATTTCTTAAGTATTTTTATAAGTTTAGTCTTCGTCTGTTAAGTATTAAGTGTCATTATAAGTAGTTGTCAACAATCAGCTGGTTTTTTTAAGTGTTTTCTAAGTAACAGGTAACTTACTTACATGCGTTTAGACGTTAAGTAGGAATTACTTTTAATAGTTCAGTAGTATTCTAAGTTTGTTTAGTAAGTTTAATGGTAGTATTAACGTATAAGTAGTGGTGTATTCTAAGTATTGTAAGTTACTTAGATTACTATACTGCTGGTTTAGTGTTAAGTAATAAAACAAGATGCGTTATATGTAAGTAAATTAAGTGTATTAGTTAAGTTAAAAGTACTATTATCATTACTATTTTTGACTACAATCATTTAAGTAACTCGGAAGTGTCGGTAAGTTAAGTAACGAAAGTAGATGTATTGTTAAGTAGGACTGCTTAACTCTCACACACCCTCACTTATATTATTTATACACACACACACACACATTACCTGCGTTGAGTGAATTATATCAGTATCTCACCTGATTGCTCCGTAAGGTTTAAGTAGCAGTTATTATTGTGAAGTGGGGTGTTACCTGTGTTCCGTAATACAGGTATGACGAAGTGGGTCAGGTGTTGTGGGAGGGTGTGTAGGGAGGGGGGAGCTTGATGTGTGTGTGTGGGGAGGAGGGGCGGCAGTGTGTGTGGGGAGGAGGGTGTGGAAATAGTGTTCAGGAATGAGATTTTACTGACATAACGTTGGTGGTAGTGGTGGTAATTTGGTAGTGGTGGTAATTGTGGTAGTGGTGGTAGTGGTGGTTGTGGTGGTTGTGGTGGTGGTAGTTGGTGTACTGTAAGTAGTGGCTAGGGCAGTGATGGTGATAGTGGTGGTGGTAGTAGTGGTAGTTGTGGTAGTAATGGTTGTGTGTTGTGGTAGTATACAGGTTGGTGTTAGTAGTTATTTTAATAGTAGAAAACAGTGTGTGTCTGTCTGTTCGTTATATCGAGGGTCCGTTAGATGTGGAAACCTCCATATAACGAACTACATAGAGATGAAAGTCCGTTATATCGAGGTTGTACTGTATGAGACAACGCAAAGAGGATCTAATAGAATAAATAAGAAAAGGAAAGAGCGATAAAGAGGAATAACTAGAGAACAGAGAGAGGCAGAGAGAGAAAAATTCTCAAAGATGAATTAAATTTAAAAATAATAATAATAAATAATAATAAACATTCATAAATTAAATAAATAATAGACAAAACACCAATTCGCTCATAACTAGCGCCATCTTTTCACAGTTTACTGAGGTTTTGCCGTTTAACGAAATTGTTCGTTTAATCTCACTAGACAAGCAGCCAGCAGCTCGTTTATCTATGATCATCTTTGATTACGTTGAGGGATTAAGTAAAAGAATATCCAGGGTTAATGTGATGTAGAATACTGGTAGTTGTGGTGGTAGGTGGTAGTGGTGGTGAATTGAGTGGTAGGTGGTGGTTGTGGTAGGTGGTGGTGGTGGTGGTGGTGGTGGTGGTGGTAGTGGTGGTTGTTTGTGGTGGTGGTGGTGGTGATGAGGTTGGTGTGGTTTGGTGGTGGTGGTTAGGTGGTTGGTGGTGGTGGGTAGTGGTGGTGGCGATGGTGGGTGGAAAGTTGGTGGTAGTGGTAGTGGTGGTGGTGATGGTAGTGTGGTAGTGGTAGTGGTGGTGGTGGTGGTGGTGGTGGTGGGGTGTGGTAGGTGGTGGTGCAGGTGGTGGTGGTGGTGGTGGTGGTGGTGGGGTGGTAGTGGTGGTGGTGGTGGTGGTGGTGGTGGTGGCGGTGGTGGTGGTAGGTGGTGGTGCAGGTAGTGGTGGTAGTGAATTGGTGGTGGTGGTGGTGTGGTGGTAGTGGTGGTTGTTGTGGTGGTGGTTTGCGATGGTGGGTAGTGGTGGTAGGTGGTGGTGCAGGTAGTGGTAGTGGTGGTGGTGGTGGTGGTGGTGGTGGTTGTTGTTGTGGTGGTGGTTGTTGTGGTGGTGGTTGCGATGGTAGGTAGTGGTGGTGGGTGGTGGTGCAGGTAGTGGTGGTAGTGGTGGTGGTGGTGGTGGTGGTAGTGGTGGTTGTTGTGGTGGTGGTTGCGATGGTAGGTAGTGGTAGATTGGTGGTTGCAGGTAGTGGTGGTAGTGGTGGTGGTGGTGGTGGTGGTGGTGGTGGTAGGTGGTGGTGATGGTAGGTGGTGGTGGTTGTTGTGGTGGTAGTGGTGGTGGTGGTGGTGGTAGTGGTGGTGGTGGTGGGTGGTGGTGGTAGGTGGTGGTGATGGTAGGTGGTGGTGGTTGTTGTGGTGGTAGTGGTGGTGGTGGTGGTGGTAGTGGTGGTGGTGGTGGTGGTGGTGGTGAGTGGTGGTGGTTGTTGTGGTGGTAGGTGGTGGTGGTGTGGTGGTGGTGGTGGGTGGTGGTGATGGTAGGTGGTGGTGGTTGTTGTGGTGGTAGTGGTGGTGGTGGTGGTGGTAGTGGTGGTGGTAGTGGTGGTGGTGGTGGTGGTAGTGGTGGTGGTGGTGGTGGTGGTGGTAGTGGTGGTGGTTGTTGTGGTGGTAGTGGTGGTGGTGGTGGTGGTGGTGGTAGGTGGTGGTGATGGTAGGTGGTGGTGGTTGTTGTGGTGGTGGTGGTAGTGGTGGTGGTGGTGGTGGTGGTGGTGGTGGTGTGGGTAGTAGTGGTGGTGGTGGTGGTGATGGTAGGTGGTGATGGTAGGTGGTGGTGATGGTGGTGGTGGTTGTTGTAGTGGTGGTAGTTGTGCTGGTAGTGGTGCAGGCTTCTTCTTCTTCTTCTTCTTCCATATTTCTTCTTCCTATTGATCTCTGTTAGTACACCTTCCTCCCCCACCACCCCCACCTCAATTTACAATATTACAGGTAAAAATACTGAGATTATGTATATGTGTATTATTTCTTCTATATACATAAGGTCAGCCATCAACTGTATGTATATGACCCCGAGACATTATACATTTATGGCTACGTGATGGACTTTTTATTTTATTATTTATTTATTTATTTTTTAAGATTTTTGGTGAATATAATACCATAGTTTATATTGTTATACTGAACCACTACACAGGTGGCTTATATTGTACCTGGTTACCTGTACACCATCTTGTAACTTACCTGTACACTCTCCCCAAGTAACTTACCTACACTCTCCCCAAGTAACTTACCTGTACACCATCTTGTAACTTACCTGTAAAACCCTTGTAACCCACCTGTACCCCCTCCCCTGTAACTTACCTGTACACTCCCGTAACCCACTGTACCCCCTCCTGTAACTCCTGTACATCCGTAACCCACCTGTACACTCCCTTAACTCACCTGTACATCCCCATAACTCACCTGTACACTCCGTAACTCACCTGTACATCCCCTGCTCACCTGTACATCCCCGTAACCCTGCACCCTCCTGTAACCCACCTGTACACACCGTAACTCACCTGTACATCCCATAACTCACCTGCCTCCCGTAACTCACCTGTACATTCCCCGTAACTCACCTGTATACATCCCCGTAACCCACCTGTACCCCTCTCCTGTAACTCACCTGTGTACACCGTAACCCACCTGTACCCCCTCCTGTAACTCACCTGTGTACCATCAACTCACCTGTACCCCCTCCTGTAACTCACCTGTACACACCATAACTCACCTGTACCCCTGTAACCCCACCTGTATCCCCCTGTAACTCACCTTGTTCTTTTCGTTCAGGTTACAGCCAAACTCTATAGGGCGATCGACGAAAGCTGGCTTATTCTCTCTGGCAGCGTACATGAAGGCGTGTACCCCGACGACTGCAACAGAGAGACAGATAGTGTTAGAAATGTACAATGACGACCCGGTGTATGACCTGGTATTAGGAAGGTGTTACAATGACGACCTGGTAATGACCTGGTATGAGGAAGGTGTTACAATGACGACCTGGTAATGACCTGGATATTAGGAAGGTGTTGCTATAACGACCTGGTAATGACCTGGTATTAGGAAGGTGTTACAATGACGACCTGGTGTATGACCTGGTAATAGGAAGGTGTTACAATGACCTGTAAGAGCTAGTTAGGGTGAATGACCTGACCTGTGAGGGGAGACAGAGGGTGACCTGAGGAAGGATAAAATATAATACAGTAATCTGAGTTGACCTTTGACCTAATCTTAGCAAATCCTAACCTAACCTAGCAAAACTTAACCTAACCTAACTCTGAAACAAAACACAGACCTGGATAATAATTTGGGGTAAGTCTGGGACCTGAATTATTCCCCTGAGCTTCTGATAATTATCGTTAGAAATTAAAACTTTAGGACAAGCCAATAATTTATATATATAAATTATTAAAAACACACATCCATGAACTATAAATAATGTATATAATAATGTATGTGACCACGAAAGCTTGAATGAAATAATTTATATGACCACGAAAGCTTGAAGGAAATAATTTATGTGACCACGAAAGCTTGAATGAAATAATTTATATGACCACGAAAGCTTGAAGGAAATAATTTGTGACCACGAAAGCTTGAATTAAATAATGGATAAAATACAACTTGAATGAAATAATGTATAAGACCACGAAAGCTTGAATGAAATAATGTATAAGACCACGAAAGCTTGAATGAAATAATGTATAAGACACGAAAGCTGAATAAATATGTATAAGACGAAAGCTTGAATGAAATAATGTATAAGACCACGAAAGCTTGAATGAAATAATGTATAAGACCACGAAAGCAGAATGAAATAATGTATAAGACCACAAAAGCTTGAATGAAATAATGTATAAGACCACGAAAGCTTGAATGAAATAATGTATAAGACCACGAAAGCTTGAATGAAATAATGTATAACTCGTTCACTAAATCACTAAATCATAAATAAATAAATAATCTCGTGTAGATTTGTCACCAATTTGTGTTATAATCTAAACAACTGACTGTCATATATATAGTCATTGGGTGTGTGTGTGTGTTCTGGAAGCCACATATGTGTATAAAACCTGCTGAATTAAATGTGTGAGTTATATCGGTATCCAACACCATCGACATAAAACATTATCGCCTCTCTCTCTCTCTCTCTCTCTCTCTCTCTCTCTCTCTCTCTCTCTCTCTCTCTCTCTCTCTCTCTCTCTCTCTCTCTCTCTCTCTCTCTCTCACTTCCCCCTCCCCCTCCTCCCCTCCCCCCTCCTCTCCTCCCTCCCTACACACTTACAATCTTCCTGGAAGGTGAAACAGTTTAGCGCCTCAGGTCTTACACACACACCCACCCCACACACTCACCCACTCACTCCCACTCCCCCCACACCCACTCACCCACACCCACTCACTCCACACACCCACTCACTCCCACCCACTCCACACACCCCTCCACTCACACCTACTCACTCACTCACACACCACTCACTCACACACCCCTACACACCCTCTCCACACACACCCCTCCACACCCCTCCACTCCCCACCCCTCCTCACACACCCCTCCCACACCCCCCTCCCACACCCCTCCTCCACACACCCCTCCACACCCCTCACCCATGCATGAAAGGAACACGTGTAGGGAGAAAGAGTGTGAGTCATCTCCATACGCCCTTTCTCACCCCTCTCCCCCTCTCCTCCCCCTTTTCTTACGTCACTATCACCTCCCTCCCCTCCCCTCCCCCCTTTCTTACGTCACTATCACCCCCTCCCCTCCCCTTTCCTACGTCACTATCACCCCCTCCCCTCCCCCTTTCTTACGTCACTATCCCCCCTCCTCCCCTTTCTTACGTCACTATCACCCCTCCCTCCCCCCTTTCTTACGTCCTCTCCCCCTCCCCTCCCCCTTTCTTACGTCACTATCACCCCCTCCCTCCCCTTTCTTACGTCACTATCACCTCCCCCCTCCCTCCCCTTTCTTACGTCACTATCCCCCTCCCCTCCCCCTTTCTTACGTCTCACTCCCTCCCCCTTTCTTACGTCCTATCACCCCCCTCCCTCCCCCCTTTCTTACGTCACTATCACCCCCTCCCCCCCCCTTTCTTACGTCACTATCACCCTCCCCCTCCCCCCTTTCTTACGTCCTATCTCCCCCCTCCCCTCCCCCCTTTCTTACGTCACTATACCCCTCCCCTCCCCCCCTTTCTTCGTCACTATCACCTCCCTCCCTCCCCCTCACGTCATTCTCACCCCCTCCCCTCCCCTCCCCCCCTTTCTTACGTCACTATCACCCCCTCCCCTCCCCCCTCCTCTCACTATGGTTCTTCCGGTATGGAATTGATTTGCGACAATTATTATTTTTTAATGACAGTATTTTTCAGTCATTACTTCCGTTGTGTCTGTTATGTTTAGTTGTTGTTGTTGTTGTTGTTGTTGTTGTTGGTGGTGTGTGTGTGTGTGTGTGTGTGTGTGTGGGTGTGTGTGTATGTGTAAAATTATATGTATATCTATAATTATATAAGTGTGTCGAATGTCACTAAAGACCTACTTATTTACTAGTGAATGTTATAGTAGATGTATAATAAAATAATATATAGTTAATCTGTATATGCTGGTGTGTATAAAACGTATGTATGATGGTATACATGAGATATATGTATACCTGTATAGTTTATATTATTGAAATTATTCATCTGTTGTCACTCTCTAGAACCGATTATTTGGCACTACTGTTGACCTTTTATATCTTGGCACTATAAGAGGTCAGAGGTCATTGTTATGAACGTGGCACTTCATTAGGTCATAGTGCCATTTGGTCAGCGTGGCACTAGTGATCTATCTCAGGGTTCTTGGCACTGCGAGTATGTTGCCTGCGTGGCATTTAACCTCACCTGGCACTTTACCTGGTACCTCACCTCACCTGACACCTTCACCTCACCTGGCACCTCACCTGGCACCTTCACCTCACCTGGCACCTCACCTGACTGGCACCTCACCTGGTATAATCCGTATCATTACGTAACAGGTCGATGGCTGCTACTCTACACGATTCAGTAACTCGTTGTGACTGGACTTGAAGCGAGTGGCTAATCTATTCTGGGTACATTTAAGACAATTCACCAATCCGTCGTGGTCGCACCTTACCACACATACGACGACTGGCTAATCCGTCATCTGTTATTGTTATACTTGCAACGATTAGGTATTCGGGATTTACCTGTATTTATAATGATTGGATAATGTTTCATAGTTTGTATATGAGACGATTGGCTACTCCATCGCTGGTGTACTTAAGACAATTCTCCAATCCGTCGTGGTTACACTGGCGACTATTGACTGTTCGGCGTATGTACTAAAAATAATTGACTAATCTTGGCTAATTCTGCGGGGTTATATTTAGTAATGCTTCGCTGGTCCGACGACTTGGGTATTCTCAAGGCCCATCGCTACTGTAACTCGCTACTGTAACTCGCTACTGTAACTCGCTGCTGTATACTGTAAATCATTTTTAAATCGGTTGTAAATTGTTGCTGTAAATCACTCGTAAATAGTTTTTTTAAATCGTCGTTGTAAATCGCTGCTGACAATTGCTGTTGTAAATTGTTGCTCTAAAGCACTCTTGTAAATCGCTGCTGTAAATCGCTGTTGTAAATATGGGAGTTTTGTTTTACGATGAACGATTTCGTCTTGACGGAGAGGCATCTGTGTTTACCATCCTTAGAGAACTGATGAGGAGGGGGTGGGGGGGTGAGAGGTGGAAGGGGAACTCATCTTAGGCACGGTGTGTGTGTGTGTGTGTGTGTGTGTGTGTGTGTGTGGGGTGGGTATGTATGTATGTATGTATGTATGTATGTGTATGTATGTATGGGTAAGATATACACCGCTCAATGGGTATTACTGGTGGGTGGTGTTTACTTCAGTCTGGTAATGAGGAAGACTGTTTATAGGAAGTTGGGGGTGGGGAGGGGGGAGGGGGTGAGGGGGGGGAGAATCATGTCTTACGAGTGTTATCTCTCTCTCTCTCTCTCTCTCTCTCTCTCTCTCTCTCTCTCTCTCTCTCTCTCTCTCTCTCTCTCTCTCTCTCTGTCCACACACAATATTTAGGGTAATAAAGTATCTTTAATGCTCCCGGAAATACTTGGCTCACACACACACACACACACACACCAAAAACACACACACACACACACATACGGTGGGCGGTACTCATTCATTTCCCCGCTGGCAGGTGACGTGGGAGGAGGAGGGACAAAAGAGTACCTGTATGTATTGATGACCCTCTCCCCACTCCCTACACTCTCCCCTCTCCCCCTCTACCTCCTCCCCCTCCTCCCCCCCCTCTCCCCCTCTACCTCCCTCCCCCCCTAAACACCTGACCTCATTCATTAATCACCTGGGTCACTGAACGACTGCTAAGGGGCTATGGTATGATCTGGGAATCAGGGAGCATCAGGGGAATCAGGGAGCATCAAGGGAATCAGGGAGCATCAGGGGCACCAGGCATCAGGGAGCATCAGGTGGAATCAGGGGCATCAGGGGGAATCAGGGAGCATCAGGGGAATCAGGGGCATCAGGGGCACCAGGGGGCATCAGGGAGCATCAGGTGGAATCAGGGAGCATCAGGGGGAATCAGGGAGCATCAGGGAGCATCAGGGGGAATTAGGGAGCATCAGGGGGAATCAAGGAGCATCCGGGGCATCATGGGCATCAGACACAGAGACTTACTCACATACAGATCAGTTACAATACCCTCATCAACATTACTCATAATAAAGAAAAAGTTATATGTAGCGAAATACTTTAACTTTAATAAACAACAACAACAACCACAATAACAACAACAACTACAACAACAACTACAACAACAGAGACTTAAAAAAGAGAC